CTCGATCGCCGTCGTCCAGGCCCTCACATCCGCGTTTCGGCGCGGCTGCGCTGCGGCTGTCTCCCCCAACCATGACTTAACGACATCAGGGTTAGAGCAACCTACAAGGGAAAACATAGCGTTTGTAGGGTTGACAACTAGATTAAGTAAACAAGAGCTAGAAATCCACCTCAACTTCGTCACCTACCTGTTTTTTTTTCTGGGTGCCCCCCCCCCCCCAGAGCTCTCGCGAAAGTCTGATTCCAAATCTGTTACACTTTTTGTCTGATCCAAAACCCCTAAAACCCTAAACCCTAAACCCTACACCCTAAACCCTAACCCCTAAACCCCAAACCACAAACCCTAGAACCTAAACCCTAGGGCTTTGTGGCTGGGCCGTGTCCAGCACCAATTAGATTTTAGCATTGACAATGCCTAGGGGTTCGATCTCCGGTTTTGGGTTTCGGCGGGTTCTGCTCATCCGCTGATGCTTCTGCGCCTGAAGGGTTTAGGGTTTAGGGGTTTAGGGGTTTAGGGGTTTAGGGGTTTCGGGGTTGAGGGGTTTCGGGGTTTAGGGGTTTTGGGGTTTAGGGGTTTAGGGGTTTTGGGCTGTCTTTGAGCCTTCTGTGCAGTTCTGCGAATGACTGCGGCGGAGTTGAGAAATTCCTGGCATGTCTCAACTCTAAGGTCTCGTTTTAGGGACTACAGGAGGGGGTTTAGGGTTTAGGGCTTAGGGTTTAGGGTTTAGGGTTTTAAGGACATTAGGAGCTATTTTGAGGGGTTCCTTCTAGGGGTTTCTCCTGCTTCCCCTTAGCTAATGATGACTGAATACCCTATGCCCTCCAAAGCAAATGCTGTCATGGGTGCGGCTGGGCTCGGGCAAGATGATGCAATATCTGATGCGCGTTTTGAATCTCCTAAACAACGGCCTTAAACCCTGAACCCTCCTAACCCTAAACCCTAAGCCCTAAGCCCTAAACCCTAAATGCTAAACCCCAAACCCTAAACCCCAAACCTAAACCCTAAACCCTAAACCCTGAACCCTAAACCCTAAAGGGTTTTCGGCTTGAGGGTGCTGGGGCCCCCAAGGCCAGAGGCTCCGGGCGGAGCAGTTCTGCCACGCTTTCTTCTCGCAGCCCAGCTCCTCTTGATGTTGGGTTCAGGGTTTAGGGTTTAGGGTTTAGGGCTAGGGTTTTGAGGGATTTAGGGTTTAGGGTTTGGGGTGTTTGGGGTTTGGGGTTTGGGGTTTGGGGTGTAATGTTTAGGGTCGGGGGGTTTAGGGTTTATGGGGTTGGTAGTTCACAGGGTTTAGGGTTTGGGGTTTGGTGTGGGTTGTTTTGTTGCAGGTTGAGTCTGTTTCATGGCCCAGATTCCATGACATAAGTTGCCTACACGGCGGCCGCAATATAGAACGGCCCCATGTCGTGTTGTCATCTTTTTGTAAGATTGCGGTGTAGGATTCAGGGTTTGGGTTATAGGGTTTGGGGGCCTAAGCCCTCTGAATAAGGTGCCGGTGGAGATGTGGGAAACATCCTAGGCCCTACGCGATTCTGAAAAACCCTCGGCCCTGAGCCCTAGATCAACCCTGAAGATGCCTCCACATCGATGACTTGCTGCAACGTACTCCTGACCTTACAAGGCTTGGAGTTAGGATTCTCCAGGTTAGGGTTGAGGGTTTGGGCTTTGGGGCTTGGGGCTTGGGGTTTGGGGTTTGGGGTTTGGGGTTTGGGGTTTGGGGTTTGGGGTTTGGGGTTTGGGGTTTGGGGTTTGGGGTTTTGGGGTTTGGGGTTTGGGGTTTGGGGTTTGGGGTTTTGGGTTTTGGGTTTGGGGTTTGGGGTTTGGGTTTTGGGGTTTGGGGTTTGCGGTTTGGGGGTTGGGTTTGGGGTGTTGGGCTTGGGGTTTGGGGTTTGAGGCATGGGATCCACCGACCTGGGCGGCGGTGTTGGATGGTTTTCGGGGTTTGAGGCTTAGGGCTTAGGGGGGTTCACGCTTTAGCGTTAGAGTACAGGATTCCAGGGATGGCGTCTAGGATTTGGGGTACGGCATCCATGGGCTTGGGTTTTGATCAGCTTGAACATGCAGGCGTCCTGTAGCCCGCCAACCGTAAACTCCTTCACCGTGCTCCCTAAAAGCTGCAAAACCCACAAACCCTACAAACCCTGCAAACCCTACAAACCCTACAGACCCCTACAAACCCCGACAATGGACAAACCCCTATAAACCCCTACAAACCCTTCAAACCCTACAACCAAAAACCCTGAACCCTACACAATGAAACCTAAACCCCCAACTCTGAACCCTCAACCATAAACACCCCAGACTGAGAAAGGCCGGTGGTCTCTTTATCTATTGCCCTTATACCTGAATATAGCCCCTAGATACCCTAATAAGAACCCCCTACAAAACAGAAACCCCTAAACCCGGTAAACCCTAAACCCTAAACCCTAAACCCTAAACCCTAAACCCTAAACCCTAAACCCTAAACCCTAAACCCTAAACCCTAAACCCTAAACCCTAAACCCTAAACCCTAAACCCTAAACCCTAAACCCTAAACCCCAAACCACGACCACCAACCAAATATAACCCCAGACTGAGAAGAATGGGAAGCCCCGGGTGACTAAACCTGTTTTTCCCGGGCTCCTTCTTTGCTTAAAGGGTTTCAGGGTTCAGGGTTCCGGGTTCAGGGTTCAGGGTTCAGGGTTTAGGGTTTAAGGTTTAGGGTTTCGGGTTTGGGTGAAAGGGCAGGGTTTACAGGGTTCAGGGTTTTGGGCTTTTAGGGTTGGGGAAAAACCAGGGTTTAAGGTTATGGGCTTAGGGCTATTCAGGCTTTCGGGCTCGTGGCTTGCGAGTCTCGGATTAGGTCTCTTTTTTCCAAACCCTAAACCCTAAGCCCAAAGCCCAAAGCCCAAAACCCTAAGCCCTAAGCCCCCAGCTCTCAGCCCTCAGCCCGGAGCGGTAAGCCCTAAGCCCTAAGCCCTAAACCCTAAACCCTAACCCTACCCCCTAATCCTAAGAAGAAAGGAAGACGAATAGTACAGGGCATTGGCGACTGCAGCTGGGCGCCCCGACTGATGGGCATTCGTCCAAGAGCCTTGGGAAAGGTTTAGTAATTTAGGGATTTAGGGTGCAAGGGTTTAGGGGTTTAAGGGTTTAAGGGTGTTTAGGCCTTCGGGTTTAGGGTTTAGAGTCTTAGGGTTATAGGGGTTTAGTGGTTAAGGGCTTAGGGTTTAGGGCTTGGGGTTCAGCAATTCCCTGCGGTACCGCTACGAAAACATAGTCGCAGGGAGGGTTCAGGCAAACAAACAACAGGCGGATGGGCCAATCTGGGTGGTACTTTTGGCGAAGACTTAGGAATCCCGTAAGCCCGAATCCCTAACCCTGAACCCTAAACCTAAAACCCTAAACCCTGCACCCTAACTCCGTCACACAAAACCCTGTTTCAGGCCCTAAACCCTAAACCCTAAACCCCAAACCCTAAACCCTAAGCCCTGAACCCTTAAACCCCCAAAGCCCTGAGCCTTTGCAGCCTAAGGGTCTGGGAGCGCGGGTGCTGAAAAAGGCGTTTTGGGCTCTCAGGTTTGAGGGATTTGGGGCCTCCCTTTTGGGGGTTTAGGGTTTAGGGTTTAGGGCTTAGGGTTTAGGGTTTAGGGTTTGGGGTTTAGGGTTTTGGGGTTTAGGGTTTGGGGTCTAGGGCGGGTATATGGCTTTCCAAAAGCTTCAAAGCTGAGGGGTCGTAGGCGTGGTAACCCAGGGAACCTACACCCTACACCCTGAACCTTAAACCCTAAACCCTATAAACCCTACACCCTAAACCCTAAACTACCCTAAACCCTAAACCCTAAGCACTTGTACCCACACTCGTATGTTGTCAAGGCGCTGACAGCCCTCCCATATCTTGGTGGCCCAGTAACCATATTCTATTACGGTATATACCCTGTTGGGGGTGGTTAGGGTTTAGGGATTGGGGTTTCGGGTTTAGGGTTTAGGGTTCAGGGTTACTTTATAAGGGAACGTCGAACCAGAAGAAAAGGGTAAAAGGGCACCACTGGACTACCTACCAGGATATTTTCCGAAACCCGGAAATCAGGCTTGCCGAAATGATTCTGGCGGCAAGCCCTAAAACCCTGAACATCCTAAGCCCGGCCCTACCTTTAAACCCTAAATCCTAAACCCTAAACCGCCAAGCAGCAGCAGCGGGGGCCGCCGCAAGGCCAAGCGTGCCAGACTGAGGAAGTACCTGCGCGCTCTTCTGGGGTCTTGAGTGGGTTTAGGGTTTAGGGTTTAGGGTTTAGGGTTCAGGGTTTTGGGTTTAGGTTTTAGGGTTTAGGGTTTAGGGTTCAGGGCTGGAGTTAAGGGTTTAGGGTTTAGAGTTTTGGGGCTGAGGGGCTAGGATTTAAAGGAGGGTAGAGGGTAGTGGGTTAGGGTTCAGGGTTTGGGGTGGAGGGGCTGTATATGTAGTCAAGGTGTTTCAACAGCAAAAAGACACCCCCCCCCCCCCCCCCCCCCCCCCCCCCCCCCCCTCCCCCTCCGCCCCGTATCACCCATATCCTCAGGGAGCCCTAGAGTTTAGGGTTTAGGGTTTAGGGTTTAGGGTTTCGGGTTTAGGGTTTAGGGTTTAGGGTTCACACACACACACACACGTTCGCCACTTTAAGAGTGCAGGCGATAAAGCAGATTGGCAGACAATTCTGTCTGCCTCACCAGGCCAGCTCGAACCAAACTGCCATACCCTAAACCCTAAACCCTAAACCCGAAACCCTAAACATGAAACCCTAAACCCGAAACCCTAAACCCTGAGCTGTACAAGGCCGTGCTGGCACGTGCATGGGTCAGGATTCTCCCCTTAGGCCGCGAGCCAAGGGTGCAGTGAGCCGGGGTGTAACACAAAGGCATATAGAACCCTAACCCTAAACCCTAAACCCTAAACCCCAAACCCCAAACCCTAAACCCTAAACCCTAAACCCTAAACCCTAAACCCCAAACCCTAAACCCCCTACATGTTGGGGGGTGGGGGGAAGCTTCAGGTCCGACTCTCAGCTCTGGCTGCTTTGAGGAGCTCCACGACATCGCGGTGGCCAAGCCGACTCGCAGCTTTCAGCGGCATGTCGTAGTCGAAGCCGCAAGCCTGCTGTCCTTGGGTTTAGGGTTTAGGGTTTAGGGTTTAGGGTTTAGGGTTTAGGGTTTAGGGTTTAGGGTTTAGGGTTTAGGGTTTAGGGTTTAGGGTTTTGGGTTTAGGGTTTAGGGTTTTGGGGTTTAGGGCTTGGGGTTTATGGTTTAGAGTTTAGGGCTTGAGGTTGGGGTTTTGGGATTTAGGGAAAATTTTCAGGTTTAGGGTTTAGTATGGGAAGTACGTATATCATTACACCCAATATGAAGGAAAACAATCTGATCAACCCTTGAAGGGAAATCTCTAAGCTGCTGGACGGCCCTGAACCCTAAACCCCAAACCCTAAACCCTAAACCCTAAACCCTAAACCCTGAACCCTAAACCCTAAACCCTTAAACCCTAAACCCCAAACCCTAAACCCTAAACCCTAAACCCTAAACCCTAAACCCTAAACCCTAAACCCTAAACCTTAAACCCTAAACCCTAAAGCTGCTGGAAGGGCCTAGTGTCTGTTGGCGCCGGCCCGTAGCAAGAGGCCCACGATGTCGGCGTGGCCACTCTCAGCTGCCACGTAGAGTGCACCAGGCTCCCGTGAGTTGCAAACCTGGACCCAGGAGGGTTTAGGGTTTAGGGTTTAGGGTTGAAAAACGAGTACCCACAAGTACCAAGTGGCTTCTAAGGGAACCTAAGCCTCCAAACCCAAAAAATGGGGAATTCCTAGTAACCCTAAACCCTAAACCCTAAACCCCAAACCCTAAACCCTAAACCCTAAACGCTAAACCCTAAACCCTGAACCCTAAACCCTACTACTCTGGGGCCTAGAGGCCTTGTCAGGACTGGCGCCGGAATACAACAAGAGGTTCACGACTTCCACGTGGCCGCCTTCGCAAGCACAGCTCAGCGGCGTGCAGAGATGCGGTCGAAACACCTGGTCCTTATCGGCGCCAGCACTGAGGAGAAGACTGACGATGGCAGCATGGCCGTTCCTGCATGCACGCTGCAGAGGCTCGCTCCCAACGGGCTTGTCTTTATTTGCGCCGGCCGCGAGTAGCAGCTGTGCGGTCTGGAGATGGCCTTTGCTGCACGCGACTCCCAGAGGTGTGTCGTAGTCGACGCCCGAGGCCTTCTCCTATACTCCCCTTAAAACCTTAATAAAGATAAAGTATTGTTAATATCCTCAATTGGGTTTTCTATAAGCAAAAAGAAAAAACAATTCCCAAGGGGGATATAGTCTCTTTGTCCGCTCCGGCCATGAGCAAGAGGCGCGACATCTGTACATCGCCTTCTTGCGCGGCCTCATACTGGGATGGGCTAGTAGGCCCTATAGTCCCCGTAGTCAACCCTCTAAAGGGCCTTTTTAAGGGGTTATAGGGTATAATACCCTAAACCCTAAACCCTAAACCCTAAACCCTAAACCCGTCCTGGTAGAGCAAGGTGTTGCCACCCGCTTTGGGCACCTGGTCAATGTACTTGCCGAGCTCAACCTTGCCGATCTTGGTCGCCCCGCCGTCAATCAGCACTTGCGCAACGTCCCACCAGCGACGCTGAAACGCCACATCTAGAGGTGTCTTGCCTCAAACCCTAAACCCTAAACCCTAAACCCTAAACCCAAGAGCAACCTAGAAAAAAGGGTGCCCTTTTTGGGTTAAAAGGGCCCTATATGAGGGAACCTAAAGCCTAGAAAGAAAGGGAATGAGGGCCCCACTCTGGGTCCTAGTTGCCCTAAACCCTAAACCCTAAACCCTAAACCCTAAACCCTAAACCCCAAACCCTAAACCCTACAAAAAAGGGAATAAGGGCCTACTCCGGGTGCTAGTTGCCCTTGTGTCTGAAGTCGGGGTCAGCCCCCCGCGCCAGCAAGGCATTTGCAGGATCCACTCGTCCGAAGGCACAGAAGCCTTAGTTGCTGAGCAGGGTTTAGGGTTTGGGGCTTGGGGTTTAGGGTTTAGGGTTTAGGGTTAGGGTTTAGGATTCATAAGCCCCCAAAAGTGTGCACTTTTAGTTCAACAGGGGATTGTAGTATCCCAAAAAAGTGCAACGTCTACTCACGCAGCGACTCAGAAGCAGTGAAGCGCTTCGCCTAGGAGCCTGGGCTTGAAGTGCTGTCCGTCTGGCAAAGAGTTCCTTGGCAGCCCAGCAACTTACCCTACGGTAACAAGGGCAAACCCTAAACCCTAAACCTTAAACCCTAAACCCTAAACCCTAAACCCTAAACCCTAAACCCTAAACCCTAAACCCTAAACCCTTTTTGGGGTTCGGTAGTTCTACAAGGGAACCTTGAACCCCAAAAAATGGGAAAAAGGGTACCACCAGGGTTCAGCAGGATCAGGTCCAGCTGGACATCGGCGAGACCTCGAAGTTGGGAGTCATCTTCCAAGCACTTCAGATCCTGAGTCGCCCGGTAACCATATTATACTGAGGGGTACTTTTTTTTGTTTTTTTTTTTTTTGGGGGGGTGGGGGCAATTGGCTACTTTATAAGGGAACCTTGAACCAATTTGCAAATTATTCTGGATGTTCATTTGGTATTTATGAAATTAAATCAAATGGTGTATTGTCATCTAACCCAATAGTACTTAAACAATATAAGTCACATTTACGACAATGAAACCGAATTTTTAAGTCACCCAAAACACAGGGCAAAGGAGCACCACCGGGCCACCAAGAGTCATACAGAAGTTTCACCAAGACCATGGGCAGGCCGTGGTTCAACTCAAGATGCTCCTTCAGGGACCTCAAGGGGGCATTCGGGTCCAGATCGCACACTGGTATCGAGGCTAGGAGGTCCCCTGAAGTGGCCCAGCACACGCGGAACATTGCGGGGAAGCTCCCAAGGATGCGATGGGAGGCCAAGTGCAAAGCAATTCGAGCCTTTGTTTGGCACCAGGATGAGGTCACATGGAGCGAGAATGCTTGGGATCTCGTGGTCTGCATGCTACCGCGAAGATTTGGGAGCTGGGTTTTAGGGATCGTTAAACCCAAAACCCACAAGCCTAAACCCTAAACCCTAAAGTGTCCCTTTGGAATCAGTCCATCGGACTTTCGCATAAATACATGACGCTCCATCTCACTGGGGGGCCCTATGAGGCCTAAGAAGCCACAAGCCCGAAGAAGCCAGAAACCCTCAAAAGCATAGGGTCCTTTAAGCCCTGTTATCATGCCCTGCACTTTATAAACCCTAAACCCTAAACCCTAAACCCTAGACCCTAAACCCTAAACCCTAAACCCTAAACCCCCACCGCTGCACACTGACGGACAAAGATGATTGAGCTTCAAAGGGGCAGACTCGGGACACAACACCTTCCTGAGGGTTTAGGGCTTAGGGTTTAGAGTTTAGGGTTTAGGGTTGAGGGTTGTAAGGCTTAGCGTTACAAAAGCATAACAGATGGGACATGGCCAGCAGCACTAACTCAGCAGTCTTGTGGGGATTCAGGGACTCAGCGATGAGGGGTCCGGAGATGGTGTCAGGAAGATCGAAGCTGTAAGAAGCTATCGCCAATGAGTAAGACGGTGGACAAGCAAAGGCCTCTTGCGTTCAATCACCGAGGTTAGCTAAACGCAGGAACTGTAGAGGCAAAAAACTCCAAGACCTTTTTCAGTGCTTTGGGCTTGGGGTTTAGGGCTTAGGGTCTCGGAAAGGGTCCCATAGGGGTGGTGCACCCTCGACTCTACCCAAAGGCTCCAACGTAGTTCCTTTTTGGGTTAGCTATCGGGGTTTCTAGTATACTACCCCAAAAAACACCACATACTGTAGGAGCCTTAGGGTAAACCCTAAGCCTAAGCCCAGTTTTTTTGACTTCAGGCTTTGAGTGCTCCGTAGGCTGCCCTGTAACCTAGGCTTAAAAGGGTGCCATTTTTTGCTTAAAGGGGTGAAAAGGGAACCTCCCAAAGAGGGAATAAGGATACTACTGGGCATCCTAGCTCCCCACCACCCTTGTCGGGGGCCTCTGCTCTAAGCTGAGGGTGCTCCCCTCGCCGGCAAGTATGGTCGACAGCCCCTGCCGCAGAAGATTGGGATGGGCGTCTCGCCCTAAAGGCCTTCCCGTGCCTAAACCCCTAAACCCTAAACCCTAAACCCTGAACCCTGAACCCCGAACCCTCAAAATCGCCGCAACAGCCTAAACCCGAAGCTACGCCCCCTGGCTGCATGCTGCCTGCAATCCTTATCTTGCCCGAACCCTCCATTTTGCCCCCACACCACCCAAAAAAATAATGCATGATCACAGGATCCCAAGCAAAATGCCCCAATAGGCAGAGCCACAGACCAAAAACTTACCGACGAAGCCTGGAGAAGCCCTGATCATTATCTCTTCATTCTGGGGCTCAGGGCTTTGATATTCGGGGTTGTTTGGGGCCCTTTTGTGAGGTCCCATGACGTGAGCTGAACCTGAACCCTAAACCCTAAACCCTAAACCCTAAACCCTAAACCCTAAACCCTAAACCCTAAACCCTAAACCCTAAACCCTAAACCCTAAACCCTAGACCCTAACCCCAAACCCGAAACCCGAAACCCGAAACCCTAAACCCTAAACCCTGAACCCTAAACGAGTCCGCCTGAGGCTTTGCAGCTGCCAGCGCATCGAGACCAACGACTCGGACAGGGGCTCTTGGCTTCGGGAGCCATGTTGAAACTGTAACTTACCGGGTTTAGGGTTTAGGGTTTAAGGTTTAGGGTTTAGGGTTTAGGGTTTAGGGTTGAGGGTTTAGGGTTTAGGGTTTGGGGCTTGGGGTTTAGGGTTTTAGGCTTTAGGGATCCGAAATGGGCCCTTACTTTGGCTCCTTGCCATAAGTAACCCTCTATACACTATACGTAATAAGAGCCCATACTACTAAGGGCCCATGGTTCCAACTTTAACTTTTGGGTTTAGGGTAGTTGTCTGAATTAGGCTCCGTTCTTTTTGTGTGTGGGCGGGGGGGGGGGGGGATCTGTTTTAAAACGGTTCGTGCGTGCTATATAGAGGACTAAAAAAGGAACCCTAAGTTAGAGATTAAGGTTAAAGGTTGGCTTCTTTGGGGACCAGGGCTCGCCTTTGGCCTTAGGCAGCCTTTGCCTGGGGTGAGATTCGTTTGATGATGCCAGCCTCCTGAAGAAGGGACGCTTCTGGCCTTGACACAGACTAAGATGGCCCCTCAAAAAACCCTCTGAAAAAATATGCCTGGATATGATCCTCTTAAGCCCAATAAGGGAAAGCATATTTTAGGGTTTCGGGTTTAGGGTTTAGGGACCATGTGAAAAATATTCCTGAACATGATCTTCTTAAGCCCAATAAGGGAAAGTATAAAAATGTCCCAAGGGCCTAGAAGAAATGACGGCGCCACCGCTCATTCCTCTCCGTGCGGAGGCAAACCCAACAATCCCGTCAGGATCCATGGTACCTTCATATACTGGGGCCTGCAAGGGGTTCCTATGGAGTAGCTTCATGGCACCAGTAACACTTTATGCGTAGGGAATAACTCTACAGCTGCATGTCATCCCTGAGGATCCATGTACCTATACAGTCTATGCTTGGACCTTAAAGGGGGTTCCTGTAGAGTAGCTTGAGGGCCCTAGCATATACCACAAGAAGGATCCTTTGGGAATCCTTGCTAGCCCTTCTCAGATCACCCTGAACTTCGCATCGCAATTGAAACGTAAACGTTAAACCCTAAACCCAAAAACCCAAAACCCAAAACCCTAAACCCTACACCCTAAGCCCTAAATCCTCACCCGCAAAGCCAGCCCAAGACGTGGTGGCCGCCTTGGAGGACGGCCCAGAGCGCCTCATCAGTGAACCTGAGGAACGCTGCATGGGTTTCGGGTATCAGTCTCCGGGTTTAGGGTTTAGGGTTTCGGGTTTAGGGTTGGAGGTTTAGGATTTAGGGTTTAGGGTTTATAAGGTTGAGGGTTTTGGCGGTTTGGGGTTAAGGGTTCAGGGTTAGGGTTCAGGGTTTATAGGGTTGAGGGTTTAGGGTTGAGGGCTTAGGGCCTAGGGTTTAGGGTGTAGTTGCTAGGTGCTGAAAGCCTTAAGTAGAACTACAAGTTGTAAGCACCGAGAACCTTCGTAGGCGGTGAAGCTGTTTACGCGCACTTCCCAGCTAACCCCAGATCTATACTTAAGGTGCTCTTAAGGGAGGCAGGTTCATGTTTGGTAGGTACCTAGGGAACCTTGCAGAAGCTTAGGGAGCCTTGGGGAGTAGTGGGGGAGCATTCGGGAACCTTGGGTTACATAGCCCCATTGAACCCCCCTAGAACCCCGCCTCCCTTAAGAAACTCTATAATATATACTTCAGGCATGCAGCGTGGAAGCTAAGATACCAAATCCAGACGAACCCTACACCCCTAAGCGCTACCTAAAGAACTCCAAACCTACTCGTGGTAGGTTCTTCCGATGAAGCCCCTTATAGGTCCCGAAGTTTCATGTGGGCCGCTGCATTTCCAAAACCTGGACCTCCGACTGGGTCAGGTGTGGGCCATCTTCCCCTTTGACCTAACCCTAAACCCTAAACCCTAAACCCTAAACCCTAAACCCTAAACCCTAAACCCTAAACCCCAAACCCTAAACCCTAAACCCTAAACCCTAAACCCAGCATCAAGTCAACCTCATGCCCATGTTGTGCACATGTACCCAGCTTCCAGATTTTTTTCTGTTCATTGGGGCTCTGTTGTGGGTTCCACGGGATGGGTTTAGATAGGGTTCAGGGCTTCGGGGGGCAAGAACTCCATTGCACGGATTCTTAGGCAGGTTTTGGGGTTCTTGAGGTGATCTATGCAGGTTGGGATTGTTGGCGTCAACAACGCACCTGTACCAGTGACTGCAGCTAAACCATCGCACACAAAAGAAGCCCTAAACCCTAAACCCTAAACCCTAAATCCTAAACCCTAAACCCTAAACCCTAAACCCTAAATACCCGGAACCTCGGAGCCCCTAGGCTCGAAGCGCTAAACCCAAGAAGATGAAGCTCTCTCTTTCCCTAACCCCTATAGACCCCCACAAAACCTTAAACTCTACACCCACCCAAAATCCTAAACCCTAAGCCCTAAACATTAACCCTAAACCCTAAACCCCAAACCCCAAGTCCTAAACCCGAAACCCTACACCCTGAACCCTAAACCCTGAAACAAGCTCTGGAGAGCCCCGGCCGGTCGTCTGGGTCGAGGTTCTCGCGCCAGCTGCCCTCCCATATTGCTGGGTCCTCCGCTTTTAGGGTTTAGGGTCTTGGGGTTTTTAGATTTTTGAGGGTTTAGGGTTTAGGGTTAGGGTTTAGGGTTTAGGGTTTAGGGTTAGTTTCGGGTGAGGTTTAGGGTAGTTTGGGGCGGGTGTTTGGGGCTGCGGCTTGGTGATTAGAGTCTCTTAGGATTTCCTAAACCCCTCAAACCCTCAACCTTTCAAACCCCGTACACCCTAACCTTTGCGCGCCGGCGCCCGAAAACCCCTACAACCGGGACCACGACCACGCCAATCTGGGAATAACCCTAATTAAACCCATTTGATCCTTTTAAGAGCAGCGTCATGGCCCGGAGTAGGGAGCCAGGGACTTTTGCTGCTTTTGCCTCGGTATATCGATCAATGTCTTCGATGAAGCTGTCATGAACTCGAAGTGGTAGAACGCTTAAAGACGCTGGAGCAACAGAGCAGATTCGGGGCCTTCACGGCTTGGCCCTGCCGTCTCAGATCGCGAGAACTTGACGACC